TGAATTGCCACAGACCCTTTCCCGTCGAGAACACGGTTTTCTCCTTGTCCTTAGGGTCAATTTCAACTTGCCAGTAGCCACTTTTTAGATCCAGCGTGCTAAACCACTTTATTCCTATGAGCATGTCCAGCGTGTCATCAATTCTTGGCAAGGGACAGCTGTCTTTATTTGTAACGTCGTTCAGACAACGGTAGTCAACACAAAACCGCATGCTGCCATCCTTCTTCTTTACCAGCACCACGGGTGACCACCATGGACTAGATGAAGGTCCAATAACACCATCCTTCACCATTCCCTCACTCATGGTTTCCACTTCCCTTTCACGTGCTACCGGCAATCTTCTTGGTCGCTGGCGGATAGGCAACTCTTCTCCTGTTTATTTTGTGTTGAACTAAGCCGGTCTTCCCTATGTCAGCATCATTTGACGAGAATACATCGGCGTACTTGAGTAATTACTTCCTCACCTTGACCATTTCGTTCGGGGAGAGAACGCTGCGACAGTCCTCTAAAAGTGTGGTCACTCTCGTTTGTGCATCCTTGCTGGGGTGTCCCAGTCGATAGATATTGGCACCGACGCAACCAATCAACTTCGTCACAAATACCAACCAGTGTGCCTTTTTCTATAATCTGTTCCTGGTCACAAAGGTTCAGCACAGGTACTCCTGAGATGTTAGTGGTTCTGACCGAGGTTCTAGGCCACTTTCCATGAAAGGTCATTGTCTAACCTTTCCACGAGTACACAACGATGAGCTTGCCCTGGATTCCGAAGGAAGACTAACCGGCACAATCGTTTCCGATCTCGGTGGAAGAACAATCTTCTTAAGGCTGTACACGTTCCCTGGTAACGCCCCTTCCACGAAAAGTTCCTCTTGTCCACATTTCAAAACACCTTGCTTAACGTCAATCTCACAACAATTCTTCCTCATGAAGTCTAGGCCCAGGATGCAGTCGTCCATTATATCAGCCACGATGACATTATGTAGGTAGATCATATTGCCCAGCTTCAACTCGATCTCCTTCTCTCCACGGACGGGTATACGCTGACCGGTGGCTGTTACCAAATTAATGCGTTCTCGGTTGCATGCGGAGTCCCCAAGGAACTGACTTATAAGTTGGGAACTAATAACTGTACGAGAGGCTCCAGTGTCTACGGTCAGTTTACACGGCATTCCGTTCACCTCGTCCTTGATGATTAGGCTTTTCCCATCATGGGTTTGTGAGATCAAGATCCTTGGGGCTCTTTTAACATCAGCCAGCACCCGCCCCCGCAGTTCTGGCTTTTACTCGTTTCCCTGCTGCTGCTGGGCGGTGCTGTTGGCCGCACTACCCTACTGAGATCGTTCACCTTCCCTAGGCTTCGCTTAGGGAGCTGGATCGAAGATGGCCCTTTTCCCCACAGCCATAGCACCTAGGGCTAGGAAGGGTCCTTTATTTGCGGTCGCGAACTGTAGCTGCTGCAACCTCCCTGACGCAATGGGAACGATGATCCTGCCGCACGGCTTTAAGCTCCAGTGCATGGGTAAAGGCGTCCTTAAGCGTCTCGTGGTGCCCGAGCCTCACAGCAACTCTGACTTCAAGGTCGCGGATGCCGTCGATGAATGTCTGCACCAGGTTCCCTTCAATGAGCGCAGGTACAGACCGGTATGCTTTTGGCACCAGCTTCTCCACCTCTAGAGCCCACTGCTGCAGGTTTTCGTTGATGCGCTGCACGCGACCTTTAAGCTGCGCACGAAAGACGTGTTCCCGGTGAGCTTCGCCATATCTCGCCTCCAATGCGTCAAGGAGCTGCTCATAAGTCACTTCCTCACCGAGAGCTTCCAGAACTGATAAGGCCTGGTCACGCAGGCCTAGTGTGAGAGCAGTCATGGCCCGACTTTTATTCCAGCCGTTTGCCTTCATAACAGCTTCGAACTGGATCTTGTAGGCCGACCAGGAAGAAGTCCCGTCGAACGGTAGCACTTGAAGCCAGGTAGCTAAGGTGTAGTAGCTAGCTACGTGAGCTGTAGTTCCATCGCCAAATTTGAGTCGGTCCAGTGATTTCTTCATGTCTGCCATTCCATAGTCAACCCAATGATTTACTTGGTCGATTCGGGTGTTAGCTTCCTCGATTCGGGTATCGGCTTCCAACAGGCAGTTGTCATGTTGAGCAACCTTATCCTTCACCTCCTTCCCGAAGGTAGCGTGAAGGTCCTTCATGAGGAGCATCTGCTCTTCCAACCGACGGGCCTGTTCCTCTTATCCGCCCCGCAGCTGCTCTTCCAATCGACGCGCCTTTTCCTCCTGCCAGTTGAGGGCCTGTGCCTCTTGCTGCTCTTTCAACCAACGGGCCTGTTCCTCCTGCCGGCGAGCCTGCTCCTGCAGCATCATCATGAGAGCACTTAAGTCAGGTGCTACAGGTGTAGGAGCAGCCTCCGTGGCTGGCAGTTGGCCCTCCGACGTCTGCAGCGTTGCAACACCAAATCTTCTATGGTCCGTCTTCTGCTGGCGTTGACTTCGGGTACTGACACCTTCCATTTCATCCTTAGGTAAACTTGGCATGATTTTATCCCACTTCTGACACCAATTGTTACGAGCTTAGGGTTTGTCACAATAAAACTGCCGATTGAATTACCAAAATTGCCACTTTAATTACTGAACACTAATTAAAATAATGATTTCTTATATTTATGCGAACACTACACATTGAAATAATACTAGTTTTTACGGAATTTAGCACATATTAACTTTTTAAATACCCGAGGTTTCGAACGCTTTACAGCACTCATGGTCACGGGGGGGTCTGAGATGTTCAACGTGCAGATGTCATAGTTAACCGCGGTTACAATTGATTAAAATTTAACTTTTGTTCCGATCTACACAGTATGAACTTATGGTATCTTGAAGTCTTGCAGTTGTATGCTTGGGTTGGGATTTAATTTTATTTATTATAGGATCCCAAGCAGATGGTAGCACCCAGCCATCTTCTCTATTGAAATATACACGATAAATTCCGTAAAAACTAGTATTTTTTCACCAATTAAAACTTACATACATGCTCGCATACATGCTCGTATTTATTTTTAGCATGTATTTTTTTTTATTGTTAATTTAAAAAACTTTTAACAGAATTATCTTTAAACAATCACAAATCAATTGAATAAAACTAAATTTACGGATTCTATCGCGTTTATTTAACTGATTTTACTTATTTTTCAAGACTTCAAGATTCTGTAAATTCGTTTTGGGTAAATTGGACCAAAAATTAATATTCAAAAACTGAAGGTAGCCGAGCTAACAATGACATTGGGACGTCAAACATCTCAGTCCCCCCCATGACCATGGTTGCTGTAAAGCACCCGAAACGTCGGGAATTAAAAATAAGTAAAATCAGTTAAATAAACGCGATAGAATCCGTAAATTTAGTTTTATTCAATGTGTAGTGTTCGCGTAAATTTAAGAAATCATAATCACAAATCAACTTTAATATTACTTTAATTTTTAGGTATTTGTACTCAGACATTATCATAAAAACTAACCCATTTAACACATTTAACCTGACTTGTTAAAAATCCTACATACTTTTAGCAAAACTATATATTGTAATGAAAATCTGTGATTATAAAAATAATAATATCTTACCTTGGTCAAGTATGTGTCAAATATGGGTTATGGAATATTTTTTATTTTTTATCACGAGCTGTTGCTCTGTAAACAAATGATACAGTAACCCACTAACGACGGCGGCCGAGTCGGGAATGAGTCAAAGTGTATCTGTATTTAGTAAAATATTTTCTTACAAGGCTGCTGGAGACACCGAAAATTTCGGAATTTCTTAGCTAAAAAAAATTATTATAACTAAGCAAAACAAAATTTAACAGCCATTTACATTCCACGGCTTCCCACATGATAGATGGAGAGATAAAAAAATGGGTTGGCTGTAAAGTCGGTTTACAGACGATAGTTTAATGTGACAATGTCATAACAAAACATTGATGAAATGATATGAACAGCTTATACGACGGGCTTGAGCGTTCGGCGCAAACCGAACCATCCCATCATGCCTTTCGCTTGTTCGTGCCACACTCTTGCTCCGATCGTGTTTGGCTAGGTGTAACGGAACAAATGAGTCAACCTTTTTCGTGCATGCAGACAGCATTCATCGATTTATTAGACATAGTCACGTCAAAAAAGTATTGAGATGAAAAATTGATATTTTCAACGGTTATCCGTTTACCCCTCCATGAGGACATAAGCCACTAAAACCACTTTTTTAATGTAAAAATAGTAATTAAATGATTTTAAAAAATTCAACAATTATTTATCTTTCTGACAATGTGATTTATATATCATTTATATATTCTATATAATTGTTAGATATGATTTCACATGACAAAATGTTCGATTCTTGATTTTTAGGCGCTAGTAGAACATACCTACGCGCTTTGCACTTAAGGCATGCAATATTTGCAATAAAAATATTTTGTTAATATTTGGTTTTTATTTTCTACTTATTCCTTTAACAAAGTCTTTGTATCGACATAAATTGTCCTGTCCCTTGAATTTTGTTATTGAAAGATTTCACTGTATTGTAATGTTAAGCTTTGTATCAAAGGTATCTCTTATAAGATTTAACATGGATATGATCTCATTTCCATTTTATGAAAGTATCAGTAAATCTGGTTTTGCTAGCTATATTTCTAAAATGATTTTTTGATTTTGATATTATACATCTACTTGAAGCCAGGGCAGGTTACAATAAACACTAGCGTGTTACAATAAATTAGGACTTTGTGACTTCATCAATTTTTAAAATCACACTTTTCTTCAATACAAAAAAGCTCATCAATATAAAATGTCCATCAACTTTTTTACATTAAACTATTAAATAAGATTTAAACTAGTAAACTCTATCGCTTTCCAGATAAATGAATAACAAAAAAAAAACAAAAAGCAAACTAAAGGAAACAAAATTTAAAAAAACTCAATTTGCGTATCATCTGAACAAAATAGTAATCCCTTACCAAAAATAGGCTGTTGTCGACATGTATCACACATTGTCCCTTCATGTTTTACACCAGTTGGAGCACTGTCCAGGATACGTAAATCATATGCCCCGGAACATCTATAATTTGCTGCAGTTCCATTATCCCAGACTACTACAACTTCTTCAGGCGATTCGAAATTTCTTACAGTACCAACATGGCCATCTCCACCATCCTGTAAAATTATTTAATTTAATAATTTTTCTTTAATATAATTTCGATAGGATATATTATTGGGAAATAATAACAATATCAATCTTAGATACCTGTTTGCCCCACTTCCAGTCGGGACCTCTAATAACACGCGCTCCTACACCTTCCATCATAAATCGAATTGTTCTGGACGATGTTGAAGAATTAGGTACATTTGACTCAATGGTTGCAACGTTTTAAGAACAGTCTAAAAGTTTTAAGTTACTTCAAGCAGGAGTCAAGACATAAACTTCTTGATGTCAACATCAACAGTAGGCACAGATCACTAATCAATCACTATAACTATATAATAGTAGTGATGTTCGATGATCATCGATGTTAAAAAATAAAACATCGATGTTTTAACATCTTTGCTGCCACATGTCAAACATCGAAACATCGATGTTGCCACATGTCAAACATCGATGTCAATGAACCCATAATCGATTAATAAGAACCTCTGAAAAACACGAACACGCGAAATCTATTTTTTTTCCATAAAAAGAATATTAACAATGCTATAAACATTACTAATATTCCCCTTAACCACTCGTGGTAAGCTTAAATTAAAACGCTCGTAGACAGAGAAACCTATAGACAAATTGACGCCTTCTTTCGCATTCGCACACGAAAAAGATAGATTTAGGTATACGTCATGCATAGAAATGAGACAGAGCGGTGTGATTGTTTGTCCCTTTCTCCGGGCCGGTTTTTTTTTTGTTTAGCAAACTACACTTTGCGAAACAAACTTTGACAGTTCGTGAAGATCTAAAGAGTTTACAAGTTGGTTTAAGTGAGAAAAAAAGTGTTTTGTGAGCTTAAGATTGGTGAATCTTGTTCAGTTCAGTTCTTAGAACAATTAAAAACCTTAAAAATGGTTAGATGTAGTGTCTTAGGATGTAAAAGTGATAGTGAACGTAAACTCACCGTTATATCATTTCACTAGTTAGTATAGTACATTTTATCTGGTATTACGCATAAAATTCAATTGTAATTTTAAATTTTATTACAGAACTATATAAATATACGTTTAAATTTTATCCAAATATGTTTAAAAGTGATAAAGATTATTGTATAACCTAAAACTACGTTATCGTCCTATCTCACTCGGCCACGCTTATCATTAGTCTATTGGTTTCTCTGTCTACGATTAAGCTACTGTCGCTTCAAACTATATATATAAGCTATATCAAATAAATCTTGCATCTTTTATTAAAGGTTTAAAATTTAGAGTAATTCATCACGCATCGATACCTAAAAAATATCATTATGTTGTGTCAAACTTCACTGTCAAGTGTGAATTTTAATGTCACAGTTGTCACTGCTTTCGCTTTGTTATTCTGTAGTAACGTTGTGGGTTGTCGCCTAACAACTAATCTACGTAAATTGACATTCAAATTAATTGTTTTTCTTTGCTTTTTATACCCACATAATTTGAAAACAATATGTAAGTATCACACAATTCAATTTGATTAAGCTGCAATTTTTAGCTTATCATAACGAGTATATTTTATGCTTGAACTTGAAGTTTATGATACTAGATCACTGAACGAGCGTGAGCATAGACAATTTAACTGCGTAGTGCATTCGACAGTGCATTTTATACATGGGTGTGGATACCTACTGCTTGCCCTGTCTGATTAAAATTTGTGAACAAAGGTAACTAAAAAGTCTATTATTTTGTTTTTGCGTGGTTTGTTATTTTTTTCTCTAAAACCATATTTTTTCTTTCGCGATAAAGTAGTTGATGTAAAAACTAAGTTCAAGTCGTAAATTAGGTTCCACAGTAAATTTTTTCATACCAGATTTGTGAATGAGTAGAACATTTAAAAATCAAGATAGTAACGTTCATCATGATCGTCAAGAAATATTAGACTATAATATTATAACAAATGAACTTAATATTCGTTAACTTCTTCCCATTTTTTAAATTTCTGACACTAAACCGTAAACCACATGACTAACTTTTTTATATCTCACCTATTAAATAAGTACACGTGCAAAAAACATCGATAAAAGCCAACATCGATGTTATGAGCAGGATAAACATCGAACACCGATGTTAAGCTATCGATACCAACATCGATGTCATCATCGATGTTTCTGCAACATCGAGCATCCCTATATACTAGTCTACGACAGTAGGGATCCGAAAGTATCGAGTATACCCGATAATTTTGTCCTTCATTAAACTGTCAGATAATTTTCTTTAACTGGCTTTACGGCTCTGGGTTCTAGCCCTTCTGAGCCTATCATTTATTGATATTTTTTATATTTTTTCATCACAATATGCCGATGCGAAACATTGCGAAGTTTTTGGGAGACTTTTACGGCAGCTCAACCCAGTGGACAGTTGATGATGACAGACACTCAAGTTCTTAAGGCACCCAAGCGATCAAAATAACTTGAGGTTTATATCAACATCAAATAAGCACTTGTTTCGTCGTTTTCTCTAACAGTACGTTTGCACTGAAAAACATACAATACGTAATGTTTTGAAACAAAACGCATAAAACAAATCATACAACATGTTTTGTTGATGGTGGCGTTCGGACTTACAAAAACTGTGTAAAATTTTCAACAGAAATATTCAAACTTATCTTTCAACATCACAATATTTCTAATTTGTTTTCAAACATTTTGTTTCTATATTTATAAAGATATAATATAGTTAGAATAAGTAATGTACAACGCGATTTACACGATTTTCACTGCAGTAGCCACTGACCAACAGGTGGACTGGACTTAAAGTGCGTTTGTCACCTCTGTTTTATATCCAACATACTGATTGCCTCGTTGGTCTAGTGGTTGTAGTAGTGCGACTACTGATCATGAGGACCTGGGTTCGAATTCCGGGTCGGGTCAAAAAATTAATTATTGAGGTTTTCCGTCAAAAATTCTCAGAAGCTGCCCGAAGTCCGGATCAGGAGTTGGTTAGTGTCTCACCTCCGTGCCTCGGAAAGCATGTAAAGCCGTTGGTCCTGCACCTGATTTCTTTCTGGTCGTATCGGTTTACCATCCCATCGGATTATGAGAGCGAGGGAAAAGAAAGTGCACCTGTGCTTGCGTATACACTTGGGCGCTATAATACTGTCCTGCGCTGATGGCTAGGCTCCGTTGAGGCAGGCCGCCGTGACCGTAATTCGGTCTGGAGAACATTACTTATAAACAAAAACATAAATAAACCGAATTTAACACCTTAGAGTTACGCTAATATATTTTGATTATCGAACAAATGGGCCGGAAAGACTATGATCTATATGATAAATGCTATTTCACGCTGGTATGATGATATTCTATCAGAATACCAGCGTGAAATAGCATTTATACTAATAATGTTACTATGATTCGTATAGTGAGTGCAAAGAAAAGGAGACTCTTTTTATTGTTAACGAGGTGTTATATTCTCTTTTGTATTTATACGGACATCATAAACACCAAAATTGAAATGTTAATGCTTTTTAGACTTCACATCTCAATGGATATTTATTCTTGGTCACTGAATCTATGTATGTGATGCGTCCAAATTGTCTGAACGGAGACATGGTTACCCTATGTAAAATCGCTCAATAAGGTAGTTGCGTGCTACATGTTAATGCAAGCAACATAACAATATTTTGAAGCTCATTTTGAGTAACCTGGAGTACCTGGTCTTTATGTATCGCAATTAAACTTAGTTAATTACAGCAATAAAAAAACATGATCCCATTTATGTAATGTCAGTTGACGTGAATTTCTATTTTTCACAATATGAGCTTACTTGTAACAATATTTTTGCTTAGTGCATTTTGCACTCACGGTAACAGTTCACACGTGCAGACAATCCGTCGACAGCCAAGTTCCCGCCAAAACTCCCACTGTCAGATAAAAGTCAGTAGATAGTACATGGAGGTTAGAGAACAGGAGAACGATCGCTGTAGAAAATAGTGTCCCAGAAATATGGACAAAATAAAAGAATCCCTGCGATCGCTAAGTTGTCTGAATAAATGCGGGCTGTTGTGTGCTAGTTTGAAATGATTATAATATTATTAGTATTTAATAATAATAATTTCGTTATTTTATTCACAGAAAAATATAACGAAATTATTATTATTTATTAATATATAAATTATAAATTACCTTTTTTATAATTTTCATTATTACAAATATTACAAATTATTACAAACATAAATTATTATTATTTTTATTTTTATATGATTTCACCATTTTTTTAAATTTAATTTAATAAATAAATTTCTTTTTGTCAATAATTAAAAAATTACTTTGCGGATACTACTTACATACGGAAACGCGGCTATAAATTTAAAAAAAATTAGGGACAAGCGGGTTATGCTTTAGTACGTAGCGATCGTTCTCCTGTTCTCTAACCGCCATGAGATAGTACTTCCTTTTTCCGATTTATAGTGTCGTCCCTCTCGATGGAGTGGGGATTTTGAAAGAAAAGCCTATTATAATTGATAGAATCAGGCGTTACTTTGCGGAAATTCATTATAATAAAAAATAAAAATATAAATTTCTTCGCAACCTTCCGCTAAATAAATACAATGATGTGTCTTACCTGGATTGAAGAGCACCTCCCGCCCTCCCTCAATTGCATGCACTAACTCCGTCACCACTAGTCCCAGCACCACTACTCCCAACACCACTATTCCAGGTAAGACACACCATCGACGATAATACGACACGTGTTTCGCCTCTACACGAGGCATCTTCAGGTAATGTAGACTCTACGGCGGCTGACCGCTAAGTGAGCGGCGAAACAGCTAAATAGCAGCTGTATAAATAGCAGCTGTTTTGGCTTACCGCTCACTTAGCGGTCAGCTGCCGTAGAACACGTGTTGTATTGTCGTCGATGGTGTGTCTTACCTGGAATAGTGGTGTTGTAAGTAGTGGTGACGGAGTCAGTGCATGCAATTGAGGGAGGGCGGAAGGTGCTCTTCAATCCAGGTAAGACTCATCATTGTAATTAGTTAGCGGAAGGTTGCAAAGTAATAAATTATTTATTATAATGGCTTTCCGCAAAGTAACGCCTGATTCTATCAATAAGAGAAATATTCTAAAAAATGTGAACAACATTAATGGAAATTTCCGTTAGTTTGATCCGCTTGTGACGCAGGCAGTGGTTGTATTAATA